CCCATTGAGTACGCAGTGCCTCCCAGAAGAGGCACCTCATTCTCAGAGAATTAACAGACTGTAAAAATAGCCCTAAAGCCTTGTTGGGAGAGCCGGAGCGCCAGGAAGCAGAAAGGCTATCAGTGTCCAAGGCCGTGGAGGGGAGGCGGGAGGCTTCTTTTCAGAATTAAGAAGGCACAAGAGCCCACAGGCAGCCAATGTCACTGAACTCAGGTGCTCGCCCCTGCAAAAAGATAGCCGAGTCCCCCCCAGTCTTTACTGGAGGCCTCCTGTGTGCGTAACAGCCCCAGGCAGTGTGGGTCCAGGTGCAGCAGGCTTTGCTGCCAGGGTAGGGTGCTTGTCACCCAATATTCATGCATAACCGGGTACTCAACATCCTACCAACCGTTAGGAACCGGCCAGGGGGTCCAGGTGGAAGATCATGTTTAGCCTTTCGGATCAAAAGAGCTGTTCGCCTGCGGTAAACAGAAAGCTTTCGCTTCCCGTAATCAATCCTGTTTCTATGTAATCTAGTCCCAAACCTGTACAAACACAGAGTATAAAAGTAAGTCAATCATTTTAGTGACAGATTATGTAAGGCTGAAACATTTCTAACTTAAAATCAGGACATAAACCACATAAAATGGATTATTAAAAAGACCAAATTCTGCCTACTCATTCTCCATGAAAAGACATTTAATAACACAATATATGGGATATAAAAGTATACAAATTTTTAAGAAGACATGGTTGTCTTGTCAACCCCAAACTAAATGCCTTCCAAACAAGGTGAAGAGGCAGGAAGGCTTCAGCTGAGTTAGGGGAGTTCTGTGCCCATCACAGAACTCATCTCCCCTACCCCCCAACTCCCATCCTTATAACTGAGGAAGAAAAAAGGGAATTTTAAGGAGGTACAATGAATCCAACATCCATTTCTCAGTAACAACTTCATAGCTTTTTGTGTGAAAACATTGCCAGTGAAAACACTTTTGTCTCAAGCCTAAAATGATACAAATGTACTTCCTAATTTCATCTGTTTAAGTGCTTTCCTGTGGAAATGATCCTCTCAACCTCACTGCAGGGGTTGGGTAAATGGGGGCCAGAATGGTCAGAGCAAAGTACTATGAGAGTGAAGTCTCGTCTCTGCCATAGACCCTCCCCTAGATCTTCAAAGGGCTGGCCCATCATTCAGTTCCCTGCTCAGATTTCACTGACTGGGCGTGGACAAAAGGAGGAAGAGCATAGAGGATTTGCTTGGGTTTCATGTTTGGTTAAAGGGATGGAAAACAGTTCCACCAACCAAGTCAAGTAGTTTAGGAGAGACTGTAAGCTTATGGGGAGCAGGGAGTCCAGGCAGGGGGAAGCAGAGGAGAAGGAATGATTAATTCAGTTCACTTATGACACATCATGGACTCTGGAATACTGAGGTGGAGATGTCCGATACAACTGAATATACAGGATCGGGCAAAAGTAGGTTTATAGTTGTTGGTATGGAAAATACAATAATTAATAAATAATAATACAAGAATAAACTTTGTGTTTCATGAACTCACAACTATAAACCTACTTTTTGCCCCACCCTGGACAGTTTCAGAGCTGAGGCAAAGAATACGGCAGAGAGCGAAGAAAGCATCAGTAGTCAGATGAAGCTAAAAAAACCCCGTAAGAATGCATGAGATCATCCCGAGAGGGAAGAAAGTAAGAGAGAGTGAGCGTAGAGCCCTGGGAAACACCAATACTTACGGGACAGAGGAAGTGACTTCAGTGACAGTGAGGAAGAAAGAAGACCAGCCTGGAGGAGAACCAAAGGAAAGGTGTCAAGGGAAGATTTATGGTGTCAAATAAGATAAAGGAGTCAAGTAAGATGGGGGCAGAGAGCCTGAGTTATGTCCACTGAACCACGTCCTTCACTATTGTAGTTTACCTAGTGTGATAAGAACAGAAACCAGCGCACTGAGTGAACGGGGGAAGATATAGAGATCACATGTACATTTTTTTCTCTCCTAAACATAGTTGTTAGACATTTATATAACTTACGTGACCCCCAATAAGCCTAGTACCCACCTGACATCACACACAATGATTACAATATCACTGACTATATTCTCTATACTGTGTCTTATATTTCCATGGCTACTTTGATCTTGCTGGCTTGGAGGTTATTTAGATTACGCAATGCAACCCTACAAGGTTCTTATTAACAGCCCCATTTTGCTGATTAAAAAGCTGAGGTTCCTAGAGGCCAAATGATTGGTTCAACATCATAATAAAGCATTCAGACCCAGGTCTTCGACTTCACACATGGCAGCAACCCCCGGGGCGCCAGGCCAGTGCCCTTCCCACTCCACCTCATTTTCTCCCCCTTGGCACTTGTTAAAGAGAATGCAGCTGCTCCAAACAAAAACAACAAATAATTCTGAGGGCATCAGTGGAAAAGTCAAGTTGAGACTAAAATATGTAAAGTATATTTTTGTTTGCTAAGGAAAATGTCACTACATAAACACATAAATCCTACTGCCACACCAGTTCCTAATGACATCTTATACGGTTGACTGAAATGAATGACATAAAAGTGGCAGACGGTGTAAACTAAAAGCAGGGAAGGTGCCTGACAGCCCCTTTCTTCTTATCTGCTCAAGGCCTGGTTGTAAGTGATATTCATGGTTTTCATGTAAATCTTCTGTAACCAAAGCACTTTTTAAAGTGCAAAGCACACACACACGTGCAACCATCTGTTGTGTTTGCAGGTAAGCTAAGACCTGCAGGAAGTCACCAAAAAACCAGAAATATAATCATTAATATGTATATGGCACCTACTATGCGCCCAGCAATGCTGGGGTTTTACACGTCACTTAACCCTCTGAAGAGCCCTATTAGGTAGGTCCTATTATTGCACAAAGGAAAAAGGCAGAGAATAATTACGTAATGTGCTGAACATCACGTAGCTAGTAAGTAGCAAAGCAAACTCCAGAGTCAGTGTTCTTAAAACTACCATCCTGTCTCTAAAATTTAAAATGTGGTTGTGACTTTTCACCCTCTAGAGAGTTCTGAAATTGTGTTTTAGAACTATTCTCCCTAAAGGGTGGAACAGTGGACCAGGTACCTTCAGAGTTAATGTTCTAGAATATATAAATTATGAAAAAAGAAAAACTGTCTTAAACCTGAGCAGAACATGGTGGTCAGATATAATTATCAGCTGTTCCTTCTGGAGGGAAATAGCATTTCCTATAAGACAATGTAATAAGTAGCCCAGCGAGGGACCCAATTACTTTTTGCTGAGAGACTCTTTTGTTTGCTTAAAAGCTCCTACCTTTCAGATAAATTTTTTAAAAACCACTTTGAACATGCTATGAATGTGCCTGGGAAGTTAACAAACAGCTTCAGTACTATTCCATGATTCTGCGGTCTAAAGAGTACAGAGTTGTAACATAATGAGTAGCCCTTCAGGGCAGTCTTCCAACATGGAACTTAATGATGGTCCAGACCCTAGCTATTCTCCTGGGGGACTGGACTGTAAGGACTACTGCTTCCCCACAGCAGCGGTCCTTCTTGGGGTGGTGGAGGGAGGCCACTACTGCGTGTAGCAGCCTTCATACCCCTAAGGCCCAGGATATGGTCTCAAAACAAAGAACATAACGGGCTACATTCTGAACAGGTTTTAATTCTCTGGCTGAGGGATACTAGTATCTCTTTTCTAATCCATCCTATTTCACTACCAAGGACCTCAAATGCATTCTGCCCTTGTCAGCAACCTACTCCAAAAGCTTCAAGGGGCACCTAATAGAATGCTGTCCAAGCTCTTTAATTAGTATTTAAAAGTCTTCCCCAGTGTAGCTTAAATTCACTTTCCATTACTCTCTTACTCTGCTTTAGTCACAAATGTTTGCCCTTCCCCTACTCGTTGACCTCCACGCCAGAACCACAATGGGATTAGTTCATGCAATGGTATTAATAAGCAAATAAGCTAACATTATTTTGATTTGTATAAATCCCCTACAGGAATGAATATGTTGTGGTCACTGCTGCTACTGGCCTTTGTGTTTCTAGAAAACACTTCCGGTTTACCTTCATTTTCAAGTGTGTTCAGCTCTTTTATCGCTTTAATGATCTTAGATGAGTCCCTGATTGATTATCCCTTATCCTTGAATCCCTCCAGTTGACTGCATTTAACATTATTAGACTCCTGCCAAACTCAAAAACAGTGTTCGAGACACTGGCATGAACCAGACAAAATATGCGCCTTCGAGGAACTCAATGCATACTACATAATCAAGTATGGCGTTTTTCATTTATCGAACATAGCATGAGAGTTTCCTACATGTGTCTTAACTCGATTATGAGACAAACAAAACCCTGGTCCATGGTGCTTAGTTCCCAACAGTACGACAGCACGCGTGGCAATCTGCCTGTTTTTGCTGAGAGACTGATCTCGTCCCGAACGTACAGTCATTGACACTTTGCATCGATTCGCTCCACAGTTATTGAGTATCTACTCTGGGAACAAATTAGGGCCTCTGTCCCCGGAAGGTCGTCACAAGGGGCCTCTGATATTTCTTTCCTCAGCGATACCTCCTCCGCTCTGGCTGAGGTGACAGCTCCAGGTACCCGGTGCTGGCGATTCGTGGCTGCCCCCAGCTAAAGTGTCAGCTCCATGAAGGGCTCCACCGCGGCCCGAGAGCGCGTGTTTGTGACCGATATTCACGGGGGGAGCAGAAAAGATCGACCGCTCCCACCGCCCGCGCTCCGCAGACGGCGCTCGCACTGCTCGCCACCCTGCCCGAGGGGGAAAGGTCGAGAGAAACCCGAGGTCCCGCCCGGCCAAGAGCCAGAGCCTCTGCGACGCCCTCGCGAAAACTCCACGTTCGGAGCGCTCACCTCTGACGCTATCCCCACGCGAGAGTCCGGAACTCCGGGTCCTGGCGCAGCGCCCCATCCAATCCGCGACCCGCTCCGGACCGCCCCACCTACCGCGCTTACGTACGCACCCACCCGCTAACGAGACCGGCCTTATGATTGGCTGGAGCGGGCTGCGAGTGGGACCGGGAGAAGCGTACCCGACGGCGCGCTCGGGCGGGGGTCAGAGGCGGGTTGGTAGTTGAGCGGTCCTGTTGTTGGTAAGTGAAGTGTGAAGGGGCATTTGGGGACGCGGGACGCCGAATGTGGGGCGGGACTAAGTGGGGTCACGCTCGGCTTGACCTGGACGAGAGCACCTTAGGAAAGTTGGAGGCCGCGAGACTGGGCGTGGGGCGCGGCCTGGGATGAAGGGGGGCGAGGTGTAGTGACGGGGCTCAGGCCAGACCTCGTGATTCCTGGAGGTTGGGGGTACAAAGATGAGGCCTGACTCCCTGTCGGGTGAGAGGTTGTGGAGCCAGCGCGGAGACGAGGCAAACGCTTGTGCAGTGAATCGCGGCTGGAAAAACAGACTCATGGGTGGGACAATAATGAGTGACCCGAAATGGGAGCCCCAAGCCTTGAGAGCGGAATCCAGTGAGTGGGGAGGGCGAGCGCCCCGTCCTTGGTGTCCTGGCAAGGTCACAGGAAGAGAGATGGGAGGAAGGTGGAAAGGTTAAGAGGAGGACTGAAAACCATCCAGCATTCCAGCCCTCACTTCCTCTTCTCTCTGACGGGTTTCCGCCCACCCTCGGCGACCCTCCTGCCCTAGGAAAGTGAGAAGGCCCCGGGCCCAGTCTGAAGCATCTGTGGCAGAATTTGAGTCTTTTCCGGGTAGCGATTATACAGCATTGTCTGGGTTTTGGAGTGGCAGCAGCCGAAATGATTTGGCAGTCTTACTAACCCGGTCTTTTTATTACCGGTGTGGGAAGCAGCTCTTCCGGGGAATCCCTACTAAAGGCACTGTCCAGCAGGACCGGTTTGAGTGAAAAGGTGTGACAGATTGAAGTACCAGCAGGACAAACATGTTTGAGTCGATTGTACCAGGGCTGCTTCTACCTTCTGTACAAGGGGTACAGAGGGGTGCTTCTGCTAATACACACTTCACGGGCCCTGCCGCACACAGGCTGAGTCCGTCCGAATTTCAGGATGGAGCCTGGGCAGCCATTTCTAAACAAGCTGTGACTGATGCAAATCAAAATGTGAGATCACTGTGGGTGGATAGTAGTTCCTGAGAGCGAAGTGATAGATGGTGAAGATCCTTCGGTTTGTTGCATCACCTGATGCTGGGCAGCGTTTCTTCCCTTAAGCCTCTTCTAGGCCCCTATGCATTTGGAAAGGTCGTCAGTAGTAGCACCTTACTCGGTGGACAGAATAATTTGGTTTTTTTATTCTGGCTTTGAATGTCTTGGTTACTGGTGCCTCTTTATGCACCTGTTCAACTTTCTAACAGGAATCTGGGTTCATTGCTGTGTGCGGATGAGAAAATGATCAAAGGAAAATCTGAAAGTGGTGCTAGTGGGGAAAAAATATTTTCAAATCACAGTTGAGATTGTTAGGTAAGTCCCTGGGGAAGGAGGTTCCATTTAATTTTAGGCATGTCTTAGCCTGTCTTTCACAATTCAAAGATGGAGATGCAGCTTCTGTAAAGGAGTGGATTTTAATATTTTTCAGATCAAAAATGTATGGGCACCACAATAAGATCGATGGCTTGGCAATATGTTGTCAATCAAAAGCGCCCTGCCCGTGTCAGGGGTGTGTCAGGGGAGCTTGGTTCTAGTGGCACCTGCCAGAAACATGTCCCCCTGCTGCTGAGCAGTTCGCATTGCCCTTTCTAATCCTTTCTCCATCTGCAAAAGAAAGCTATTAGCAAGAATTAACCATGAGTAGTTGTTCTCAAATTACATGACTTATAGTTACTGATCCTGGGACTTTAAAAATTAACCATTTTCCATTTAGGATGCTGTAAATCATGATACTTGGGAAGTTTCTAGGTTGTGATTAGAAAGAATTATCAAAATCGTATATTCGGGCCCTGTTATATAAATATAACAGGGTTAGAATTTATAGCAGTGTAAATGTAATATGATTTCAGTGTTGGATTTTTAATACTCCTCTTTAATGATATTATACTGAAATGTTCACACAAAGTGTTCTGGGTCAGACACAGATTATTATCATCAGTCCCGTAAAGGAAATAATGACCACATGGTCCCCCCCCATCCTGATTCTTACCCCAGGGACTGCTTTCTGAAAGCCCTACCCATATAGATTTCACAGACTATGAGCAGTGAAACCAGTGGATTTCCTTCTGTTCTTCTTTTACATACAGGACAGAGCAGCCAGCGTCTGCTTTCCTGTGGGGGTCGGGGGAGATTTTTCTCAGTCGCCTCTTGGACGATTGTAGTGATCCAGATGTGAGAGTGTAGGGGACAAAGTACCTGCTTTCTCACGTTTAAAGACAATTCCCAAATGGCTTCTTAGTTTAGGAATAATTAAGGCAAAGGAAGAAAATGCTTTCATATCTGCAAAAGAAGGTTAGATTTTAAAAGTGGATTGTGGTATATAATAGTTTTGTCTCCTGGTTGCAAGAAACCAAGGCCTACTCTTGTTCTCATTTTTTCTTTCACAGATAGAATGAATATAAGAAATAAAACAAGTGAGCACTTAGGTATATACAGTTTGGCATTTTTCTTACTGATTAAATTCTACAAGTGTCTATAATTGTTATTTTTCACTAAATATTCCTGAATAAGTTACCTTAGAATAATTTTAATTGTTGAGAAATACTACTTTTAAATGCGTTCAGCACTTTGTGGTGTACTTACTGTACGCAAACCATTGTGCCAGGTAGTACAGTATGGAGCAGGGCAGGTGTAGCTTCCTGATTTCAAGGGTTGTAGCGAGAGAAACAGGCAGTTGCAAGACTTCTGATAGAGGAAACAGCATTCTAGGGACTGCAGAACCAAAACATTTTTCGCAGACGTAGAGAATCAAAGAAGACTTCCTAGGGGTCAGTTAACATAACCTGGAAAGCAGGAGGAGTTGGCCAGGAAAGCAAGTATCTGAACGAGGTGGGAGGGAGAAGCGATAGAGGAGTCAGCTTGCGCAGAGACTTGGAGGAGGCGTCGGGATCATCAGTGAGACGTTTAACGTGATTAAAACGGGGTTTGCGAGGGAGCCGGAAGGAGAATTTGTGATCAAAGTTATGCCCGTTGAGAAGTTTATGGTTAGTTATGAAGGCAACTAATGGGCATATACTAGCCTAAAATAAATGTAGCGTTTAATTTCTGTCTAGTCCATTATGTAGTTTCTTGAAGGCCATGCGCAAACATTTCTCTGTGAAATTTCCCAAATGTACTTGAGCTAAAAGATATCACCATCTTAATTTAGTTCTCATTGTCTCTGTTACACTATTGGCAACTAATCACACTCATGCCTCTTTTTTTAAAAAAGTTAATTTTGAACCACTGATTATTTCTGTGTTTGCGTGTTATCTCTTCAGATAGCACCGTGAGTGTCCCAAACCTTGAGCTGTCAGACCTTGTATATAGAGGGCTGGAGGTTACAGTTGTGAGTACGTGAGTACCGAGTGGATTCTTGTGTTATTGTTTATTAATTATAGTACTATTTTCCACACGAACAACTGTGAACCTACTTTTGCCCTGACCTGTAATAAAAGCTTAGTAAGTAGGGGTTTATTCAATTAGCAGGTAATGGAGCACAAAGAGAGAGAAAGTCTAGTTCTAGTCTGAGTTTCCTTATATGGAGCTCTGCAATGCTGTTTAACTCCTCTGGGTTTTGGGCCTGTCTTCTCAGTCAGATGACAGACTCATCCACTCTTGCCAGGGGAGACGGGGGCTTGAGGGATGACTTTTCAAACTTAAGTAGTAAACCTCTCCTCTAGAGTTGGGTTTTCTTTGAGGGCCTTAGCCCACCACTAACAACACTTGAACAGCCAAGTGTTAAATGGAAGCTATGGGTAAGAAAGGGAGTGTGGAGCACACGAAAAACCCAGAAGTGACGGTGGGATTTTACATGGGCAGCGGGGTGGGCAGTTGACTTTCGGCTTCACTGCAGTTGGTACCAGTCAGAGACCTGGGCACTTCCATGCTGTGTCCGACTCCCTTACTTTATCTGCGGGTGAAGTTTACAGGCAGTTCAGACACTCTCTGTGAAGAAGGAAGTGTATAGTTACAGTGACAAAGGTGAAACTAGGTTTGTCATCACCTCGCTGTGATGAAACAGCCTGCTGGCTTCCGTTGTAAAGGGAGGTGACGGAAGTGGGAGAGGGGAGCCCTCAGTCCTGGCGAGAATTGAGATGAATCTTTGTTGTTTTTTTAATGCCCCCATATCCATATAATGACCAGGCTAGTGTCTTGCCTTTTTTGATACCATTTAAAAGAATAATACTCTAATAGAAAGTACAGAATTTTAAGAGGGAAACCCAGGAAATAGAAAGTATGTAAAGGAAGAAAGAACTAAAGCTTAGCTGTTCTTTTATTAAGAGGACCCTGAGGGTAGTTTGGTTTTTCTGCTGCAGTGATGTTAAAAGTGATGACCCTCAGTCATAAAACAACTGAGAGGCCGTGTATCAGTGCAGCTGAACATGAGTTAGGTTTAAAGTGAGACATTTCCAACCCCAATGGGAGCGTCACGCCTCAGATCCAGGTAGTGTACCTGGATCCAGGTAGTGTGTTGGGGTGAATGAGTCAGCTGTACGTTTAAAGCAGTGAAGCCTACACTCAACTACACTTAAAAGTGCTTAGCAGGATTTTCAACACGATAAGGAAGAGGCGAGAAGGAGTATGATCAAGTATGAAGAAAAAATAAAAGGATGGAAACAAAAAATGAATAGCTACTATTTTAATTGACAAAAATTTAAAATTCACTGTTCTTAGCAAGGTCGAGGAACTGGTGGCATGGAGGGACGTGAGAACAGCGGGGGTACGTGCACTCGGCCCTCCCTGCAAGTCGCTGTGGGGCAAAGATACGGGTGATCTCTACAAGTAGTGTTTCCAGTTCGTGGATAGCATATCCCAGGTTTCGTGGAAACTAGGATTATTTTACATACATCCAGTCATTTAATGTCCTAGTTGTTTTCAATCGCAGAACCTCATGGAAATTGTCTTTCAGGAAGATTCTTCAATCAGTATGTCGTCCAACACAGATGTTTCTCTTTCTTCATATGATGAAGGTCAGGGATCTAAATTAATCCGAAAAGCCAAAGAGGCACCATTTGTCCCTATTGGTAAGTTTTACCTAGAATTCTAATAATCAGTTTGTGTACTGTAATAATCGAAGTATAATCAGCTCCTTCATCAAGTTCATCCATAAGCATTATTTTCAAATTTTTAATATGTGATTCAGATATGCTGAGATTTACATGATATAACTCTCATTATAAAAATTCTTCTATGTGTCTTTAGATGTCTTGTTTTATTAACTCTTATATCAGTGACATGTTGGGGAATCCCAAGACCACCCTTAGTAGTCTTGGTGATGTGCTAGAAGGACTCAACAGACTTTGTAAAAGCTGTTCCACTCACCGTTATGGTTTATTCCAGCCTCTGTTATATTAATTGATCCCCATCAGAGGGGGAAGTAGCACAGGAAGGAGGACTCCCCTGGCTCCCTTACAGCAGTTTATATACTGGCGTCACAAACCCACATTTTTAAAATTGAAACTTCCTGAATCTGCTAGTTTTTGCTACCATCCTTGGACTTTTGGTTCTGGGGGGAGAAGATTAAAAACATGGTGTGTATGTTAGCTAATGAATGGTTTCTTAAAGCATTTTTCTAAAAACTGTAGCAACTACATTGGTTCATGGTAAGATCATCCTGGTTCCCTGCCCCCCGTGTCTGACATAATGGCGGCTCTTTCTCAGGGATGGCAGGGTTCGCAGCGATCGTCGCCTACGGGTTGTATAAACTGAAGAGCAGGGGGAGCACCAAGATGTCCGTCCACCTGATCCACATGCGCGTGGCCGCCCAGGGCTTCGTCGTGGGCGCCATGACTCTCGGTGGGTTCCTGCTGGAAGTTTCAAATTTGTGGTCCCCGCGAATGGAGTTCTTTGTTAACAAAACAGTGTAGATACTTAAAGCTAGTTTTGTTTCCTTTTCCTTTTTTTTGTTTTGTTAAAGCTAATTAGGAGACAGTACCCAAATATCATGTTTATTTTCATGGAGAAGTGAATTGATAAACAGTAGTTCAAGGAGTGACATCATTTTACTGTCTGATACAGGGTGGGGCAAAGGTAGGGTTTACAGTTGTGAGTTCAGAAAACACAGTTTATTCTTGTATTGTTATTTATTATTGAATTATTTTCTATATGAACAACTATAACCTTCTTTTGTCCCACCTGGTACATCTTACTAAGGTTTGAAAGAAAGAAAGAAAAGATAACCCTGTCCATCACTGAGTTTATAATTTCGCCAGAGGGGCTAGACATGCCAGTAAGTAAAGTCCATTATGTGGGAGAGACATGGTTGCTGTTCTGTTGAGTTGAAGGTTGAAAAGATCTTTTTAATGCAGGTATTACATGCTTTTATTGGCTTTATGATTCACTGACTTTATCTGATATTATGTAGCAAGAGTGACAGCTTTTAAAGTTGCCAGATAAATATCGAACAGTCTGAGCTAGTCATACTAGCCTTAAGCTACTTGGGAAACTGTAAAAATAATTTTAGAAACAGAAATTGTTTAAGAAGGCAAAAGTGTAAGCAACCCACAGTCTGGTTCCCCTTGTAAAGACTGCATGCTAGCAAAGGTGTTGCACGTAGCTATTTTAGGAACTGTTTTATTGAAAAAATATTTCAGTGCTTAACCAGCATTCTTTTTTCTTTAGGTATGGGCTACTCCATGTACAAGGAGTTCTGGGCGAAATCTAAACCCTAGAAGGACAGCTGCGGCCTCGGTCGTGGTGGTGGTATTTGCTGTAGATAGAGATCTCACATTGAGGTTCTGTATTTATGTTGGAAATAAATTGTTTGAGTGGGTCAGACAGTAGTAACATGGTAATTTGAATATGGGCTTCCTTACTTGCAGGCTTGGTTTGCTGGGTGCCTAAATTTTTAGTGACTAGGTCACTAACTGGGTCGTTCAGAGGAGTCAGATGAGCACATAAGAAACATGCCACTTTTAAATGCACTTGATAGTAGTGAAGTGTCCACCTTGTTCATCTCTTCCGGTGAAATTAGTTCTAACGAAGACATCCTGCCAGCCCTGAATTACTCCCAGTTGCGGTGCATGTCTCGTGCTTTCGATGTGATGTGGGAACCCTCCTCGCCCCAGCTTTCTTTTCCTCCTGCCTTGTGGGCTGGAGAAGTACTTCTGTTTTTAGGGCTGGTTGGCTCGAAACCCGTTCAGGACAGTGCATCGCATACAATGTTGTAAACCTCCCCACAGCCGGACGTCTGTGTGTGCGTTTAAACCAAACCTAAAATGCTGATAACAGCTGCTAGAGGGTAATACTTATTTTAGAGTCATACTTGTAAATATAAGACGATTCTGGATCTAATTTAGCCACTTTGTAATTGCAGAATTATATTTTTGCTGCTGTTACACGACAGTAATTTTTAAATGCCACTTTGAAGTAGAAGTATTTTAAGTGCTAATGCAAAGATATTGAAAAACAATTTTTAAATGTGTGCAGTATGTTTATTTTTCCCTGGAAGCATCATAAATGTTAAACAGTTTACCTGTAATGCAGGTGGCTAATGATGTAAGCGCAGGCTCTGGTCAGACGTCACACACAAACTTGTGCGCTGCAGAGGCTCGATTGCACCTGGGAAGGTCTCCTGTCTGACCCGACTTACATTCCATGGTGATAACATGGTACATGTGCTTATTAAAGTAGATGAACACATCGAATGTCTTGTATTTATTTCAATTTGGAAAAAGAAATCATTCCCCAGAGTGGCACAAAAATCAAGTCCCCAGAAAAGAGAAAGAACATTTGGGGCCTTTAGTAGGAGCCACAGTTAAAGAATATTTCCCAAACAGCAACGATGGCTAACGTTTATTGAGCATTTACTGTGTGCTGCCCGCTGCTATAAACACTTCCCAAGTATAATGTCATTTAGGTTTCCTGACAACCTTAAGCATGAGGAGCTATGATCTCATTTCACAAAGGAGGAGACTGAGGTGTGAGCATTTCAAGTAACCAACAAGGTCACATCACTAGAGAAGGTTGTGGGTTTGGGTCAGGAGCCTGTGCGCTCAAGTGGTAGCTGCTGACAGGTGTTAGAGACCTGAAATGTTGGGCTTTGTGCAATTAATGCTGCAGCGGGCCGGGGGGGGGGGGGGGGGGCATTAATTTTGTTTATATCATAAATAAAATTAGAGGCAATAGCGTGGTTTTGGCTCACCACTGATTGCGTAACCTGGGCCAGGTCAGGTTTTCTCAGTCTCTTCCTAGCTGTGAACTGAGGCTGGTCTAGGTCATTTCCATGACCCTGTTTATCTTACAGATTGTTATATGAGTACAAGAAAGTGATTTATAAGCTATTACTTAGGAACTTTAGTCAGCTTCCAGTAGACATTTGTAGGAGATGCTTGTAGGCAACCCTAAAGGTTACTTCAGAAAGGATAAGCCTTCTGTAGAACCAGTTTGGGAACAAGTTTCGGAAAATGCATCTTTCGAGTATATTACTGATTTTGTGAAAATAGATAAATACCAATTTGTGAGGAATTGATCTAGACAAGTGCCAGAGGATGGAGAGAAAAGCGGGAGTGGGGGGTTGGTGATGGCGGCCCCCGTCATGGGGTCAGGACAGCGTGAGAGGGTTGCTTGCCGGAAGGAGGGTGGGTGAGTAGGTGGGTTGGCATCAGATCGTGGAAGTTTGTCAAAGTAGCTGAAGTGCAGGGGATGCTGCTTTTCACTGAATCAGACCTGACTTCATGGTTCTGCCACCGGCTGGCCAAGGGGCCGTGGTTTCCTCACCTGTGAGATGGTGACAGTATCAGTGGCCTGGGGCTGTTGGAAAGATTAAGTACAATGGTGAAGGTGAAGGGCACAGCACCTGGTGCATTAGTAAACTCAGCAAATCCTTGCTGTGAACTCTTGTTAAGTTTGGGAATGGAACAGCACAGGAGGTACATAGGCCCTGTGCTTACAGCTTAGTCTAGCTGGGAAGGCTGGGCTCAATTACGTGATTACCAAAAGCATGATGAATAGTAGCCCCCATTGTCACTGAGACCAGGATGCAGCAGGAACATCTGGCTGGGGCACCTAGTTCCCTGTAGGAGTCAAAAGGAACCCCTGAGGCCCTGTTCAGTGTGGCTCAGTTGGTTGGAGTATTGCCCTGTAACTGAAAGATTCTGGGTCTGGTCCCCAGTCCAGGTGGGTACAGGAGGCAACCTATCAATGCTTGGAAAAAGTAGATTTTGTTTTTTTCACATCCAGGATCCTGCTGTCCCCAAAGAACTTACATATGTCTAGGTAATGAACAACAGTGACACCTCGTAATTAGAGGTAGAATTTGATTCCACACTTACATAAAACCCAAAAGTACCCCCGACCTCTGCATCAGTCAGAATTTTGGAGCGGAGGGTTAGACATGGGCCATGCCTACGGCCTCAGATGAGGAAATGCTACAGGAACTTGGAATTGAGGACCAAGGCTGTCAATTTGCAGCCTGTGGCAACGTACCTACTAGGCCGGAACAGAGCTGAATGAACATAAGGTGTTCTATAGTTCTCACGTGCCACATAGTGGAACTGCCAGTTATTTACACACTTGGCCCTGTTTGAAAGCCCTTCAGGTAGAACGGGGAAATGGGAGAAAGGAACCTGGACGAGCCCCAGCTTTCTCGGTGAGCGGTTCACCTGATGCGGGTTCCTGGGAGGACCAGCCGCGAGCATCCCGGCAGCGAGCGCTCCTGCATCCCAGCCTGCTTCCCACAGGAAGCCCGCTTTCCCCCAGCCACTGGAATGAGGCAGAAGAACTGGCTCCTAGCAAGACAAAAGCTGGAAGGCCTTCTAAACTCGGCAGTGATGAATGGTTCTGAGGGGAGGCCAGCGTCCCTTTGCCCCCCTCAGAGGAGTGTAAGAAGAGTAAGAGGTCTTCTCGAGTACTTGAGCTTCTTACACTGCTGGTGTTAGGTCTTTCCCTGTCCCCAGCGCAACTGAAGTGTTGCAGAGTGACAAGCTCTGCCGTGTGAGGTGGAAATGCCACCCCGCCTTTCAGCAGGAGCCCTGTTCCCTGAGGTCAGCTTGTCTTACGTCCACATTTGGTGGACATAAGACCCCGCCCCCCGCCTCGCTCACCGGTGCCTGTCCCTGATGCTCCACCCCCCACCATCACTCTGGGCACAGACTTGGAAGCATCTTTGCTTCCTCTTGTCTTGGTCATTAGTAAACGAGTCACCAAGTCCTGCCAGTCTTTCCTAAGCAAAGCCTCTTGACATTCAGATGTATCATTTTCCTTTCCTTGTTGGCACCACTTCAAACCTGGGCCCTTCACCTCCTGTCCTGCCACCGAGCTCCAGCGGTGCTGCTGGCGCCAGAGTCCCCTGCCTGTCACCACCCAGCGCCTCTGCTCCTGCTCTGCCTCTTCCCTGAATTTCCCCTCCACTCCCAGTGAGCTCAGTGCACTCCTTAAATCAAAAGTGGAACCCAAGCTTTTCAACATTCTTCTAGATCACAGTGAACTATACCTATTTGCCAATCTCTCCATATTTAAGTTTAAAACAATCCATGTTCCATTGTGATAATATTTGACTTTATGCACACTGCTTTGCAATGTATAAAATGCTTTAATGCTCTTTTCCATTTGTTCCACACAAAAACTCTGAAGTACGCATTATCCTGACTTTTTCAATGAGGAAATCTCTGAGCTATTCAAGGCCATACAATAGAAAAGCAACAACAACAACAACAACAAAGCCCTGGCTGGTGTGGCTCAGTGGATTGAGTGTGAGCCTACGAACCAGAGGGTCGCTGGTTCGATTCCCAGTCAGGGCACATGCCTGGGTTGCAGGTGGGTCCCTGGCTGTGGCCACGTGAGAGGCAACCACACGTTGATGTTTCTCTCCCTCTCTTTCTCCCTCCTTTCCCCTCTCTAAAAATAAATACATATTAAGAAAGGCAACAGAGCTGGGGCACACATCCAGAACGTGAGACCCTTGGTCACGTGGAGAGACACGAGCCGGAAGGGAGGGAGGGCACAGAGGTCTTCCCACTCACACAACACTCACTGGCCTTCCTTCTCCAGCCTCCCCCGCACGCACACACTCCCCGTCGGGCCCCGAGTCTGGTCTTTCTTCCTACTTTAGCCGCAGCTTTCACGTCTGACACTCCTCAGCCAGTACTTGTGTTGGCCTTTAGAAGGAGGAGGACGGGGCTCCCACCTACAAGTGGCCTTTACTGTGGAGGAGGTGAATTAAAAAGTAGGACGCGCACCGGGGGTTGGGGACCGAACGGACAGGAGGAAACCGATTGTCACTGAGACCAGCTGACTTTCATCCATGTGTCTTGAAAGACAGCGATATGAACTAAGAGTGAAATTGAGAACATTTAGGGCAAATGTGAGTGGTGTCACCCACGCATTGTGCTGAGGGCGTGGGGGCAGCCAGAACCGGGCTCGTCCATCAGAGAGGTCCCGGGGACTAAGGACTAATGAACCTTGGCAGAACCTCAAGTTTTCTCCTCAAGTCAGCATATGATGAATGAGCACCACATATACAAACACTGCTTAGACAAAATAGCTCCACAGGTGAAATAAGACTTGACTGTAGTCAAAACAGTACTAGGCTGAAACATAAACTATACGGGGGATAATATGAGAGGCTGGTGGCCCAGGAAAGCCCGAAACCAGGGTGAGTGGAAGAGGCAGAACTGAGTGCATAACCAGCACCTTCCAGCCAGAAGGAACTTGAACCTGGAAAAAATGAACATTTTTAATCTATGTCGGAGCTCCCCACTGTGAAGAGAAGTATAATAAGGCTTAACCCTGGGGGGGCGGAGCAGAGTATATCGAGGAAGTTTGCCTGTGTTTGCTCTGAATCCATACCCACAATATTTTTTTGATGACTCTTGGCTTCTTGGGTATCTTGTTCCAGGAAGGGCGAGGTCCTGGATATATGGGTCACAATCCCCTAAAGTAAACAAACTGGTGGCTTAGTGCCAATCACTTAATACCATGACTGACATAGGTCTAGCCCCAAGAGACACTCCTGGTGCAGTGACCAAATTCTATTTTGGACCTGAGAAGCTGAGGCCCATCAGCACAGAGCCCCGAGGTGGGGAGAGCCACATGGAGCCTTTTTTAAGCTGCCGCAATGCTTACTTCCATTTTGAGGCAAAACAGCTAAATCTGTAATAAAACTAAAGAGCATTCCAGTTTACAAAGCACTTCCGTAATCTACTTGAGAATAATGGTAATAAGGGTACTGTTGCTATTTTAAGAAGAAAGGTGAGGTTTATAACCTCTGTCAACCCTGTTCACTAATGTCACAGAGTTGAAACACAGGTATTTATACTTGTGATGGAGTTTACTTCAATTTTGCTTCTCACACTGAAAGCAAGATCACACTAGCTTTTTGCAGGGAGAGAATATGAGTGCAATTTCGGTGAAGGTAAACCTATTTGGTGACCATATCTTTAAAAAAATAAATGTGTGGATATAGGTCCCACTTTAAAGTCGGAGCTCCAGTGAAATATGGAAAGGACCTAATCTGGGAATTATTTAAAAAGAGCAATTAGACTCACATGAATATGCTCAAGTAATTTAAAAAAATTTTTGTTGCCTTGGCTGGTGTAGCTCAGTGGATTGAGCGCAGGTCTGCGAACCAGAGGATCACAGTTCAATTCCCAGTCAGGGCACATGCCTGGGTTGCAAGCCAGTTCCCTGCAGGCCAGTTCCCA